CTGTGTAAACATTGTTGGGTGAGTCTCGGTTGCTGTAGATTGCGCACATACGAGCTCGCGAACGCATGAAAGCAAGGGGTGCACGCGTTTAGTTCTTATCGAGGTGCAACATGCCTATTGTCCTTGTCGCTTGCGCGTCTTGCGTGCAACCTGCTGTAGTTCTGTGGGGCATATATGTTCAATCTGATTTCGCCAAGTTAGCTTTTCGTCATAAAGTACGCCTATATATTTGACGCAGTCACTTTGGCGAATCAGTTCATGGCGATATTGAAGAGAAATGCTAATCGGAGAATTCGAACGAAAAGTAATAGCTGAACTTTTGCTAACGTTTACGGTCATTCGAATCTGTTGAAACCATAAGTATTTTGTTCCAAAGCATGATTGTTCGGCCCTTGCGTGCCGTCTTCGCTCCCTTCTTCATCGTGTACTCGCTCCCCAAACCCGTGCGCGTGGCTGACTTGTAATTGGCTGGGTGGTATACCTAGGTATATAATTCTGTCAGGACACGCTGTGACCTAGCTAATTAATTTAAGTCAAGCTAAGACTGAGCTAATTAAGGTATACTTACTAAGATAATGCTAATGACCCGTGTAAAGCTATGTCAATGCTAATTAACACCATGGTAACTTGCACAATGCTAATAAGGACCGCGCTAATCATAGCCATGCTGATAGAACCTTGCTCACGAAGATCTTGCAAGTTGGGATTATGCTAATAAGCTACATATTGATAAAAACATTGCCAATTAGACCTGTAAAATTAGTGCTGTGTTAATTAAATCGTTTTCAGCTCATTATCAATATCAACTATTCAACATGCTAATTAAGCCTTAGGAAGTTGTGCCATCATTATTGAGAATGAACTGACGCCGCGTGATCACTGAAATGCAGACTGAGCTCCTCTGATGCCACCAGGCTTGCACAAGTAGTGCTAGAGCCTGGCAGTGCAGGCGAGCAGATGGGAACGCTTCGTGGAGGAAGCGGTGGAGGTAGAGCTCAGCTGTAGATCATAGCGAAACTGAACTTCTCCTATGACGTTTACACACGTGTTTCCAAGGCAACGCGTGCGTTAGTGTCAGTCCATAGACGTAAGCAGCTGGGCTACCTAGCCTTCAGCTGTTGTCTTGTATGGGTCATTTTAGGGGCGAAGCTCCTAAAGCGGCACCCGTTCGTCCCTCGCCGTAGTCGTAGTGGGTAACCAGTCTTATGCCTTGACCTGCAAGGTGGTGCCGGTGGGAGATTTCTCCTGTGCGTTGCTAAATAATAAAAAATTCGCAGCGTGTGCGTTAACTAAAAGCCGAATTCTCCTGTCTCTCATTTCCAATTAGCAGCCATTGGCATGTACATTGAGCACTATCTGACAAGAAAGGGTTGCTACGTGTTATAGTCGTTGGACGTAACCTCCTTGGTTTTAGAAAGGTTTAGCGAGCATTGGACCAAAGTGCCATGAATACAGTGAACTAGTATATACCATGAACTCAAGGTGGTTAAAGGTGGGAAGTAGACACGAAGCGCAAGCCGTAAGAAAGTGTGCTTGTGCCACCTCTCGTTTAGTCCTTGGAATGTCCGCTGGATGGCGGTGCTTCTATATGCGGAATATATGATGAGAAGACGCGAGATAGTGGTACTTGGAGTGTTGACTAGACGGACGAACGGACACACAGACAGATGCATGGAAGGACGCACGGATGGCTGCATGGACGGGTGGACGCATGGACGCACGCAGGATGGATGCATGGACGAATGCAGGGACGGACGCACGGATGGACGTGCGGATGCACGAACAGGCGCGCGCATGAACGGGCGGAAGGACACATGGACGGTCACACAGATGGACGCATATATGATGAAAAGATGCGAGATGGTGGTACTTGGAGTGTTGACTAGATGGACGAACGGACACACAGACAGATTCATGGTCGGACGCATGGATGGCTGCACGGACAGATGGATGCATGGACGGACGCAGGGGCGGATGCATGGACGAACGCAGGGATGGACGCACGGACGGACGTGTGGACGCATGGACGGTCACACAGACGGACGGAAGCAAGAACGAATGGACGGACGGGTGCTTCGCCCCACTCTCGATCGTTCACTCCGTGGAAATGCTGCCATTTTTTTGGTCGTCCCAGTTCTTGTTCGTGATTATCACGTCACATCGCTAAATCATTCGTAAGCCTCAGGGATATGCAAGGAAGTACTTCTTCTAAAGTGCACGTCTTTGGGTGATTAGGTATCAGATTATTCTCTCAGGTCGTGCTTTTCTTGTGCTCTTTTTTTTCTGTTTTGTTCTTCATGTCTTTCACAAATTTTCCTGGTGACTGCCGGGTCTTTAAATTGTTTTTTTTTTTGCAATGAAATTTGGCAGTAAGTCCAGCTTTGTCCGGTCGCCTTATTTTTGTATCTGTTTGTTTGTAGCTGGTTTTTCTTATTCAGTACAAAACGATGTACGTTCGTAAAACGCCAAATGTTTACTCATGCATGTATACGTCATTAAGAGTATCCTTTAACTCTGGCTTCTCCACACTAAGGGTTTTGACAGGAGAAGCCTGCTTCTGTGAACAGCAGCGCTGGCGTGTTAACATTAATCACGGAAATTAAACAAACAAAAAAGATTTAGAAGTGCGTAGCCGTGCTAAAGTGAACGGGCATCACAATATTGAAAAAGAAAAAGAACACTGATAAAAACGATTCAGCGTGAGTACCAAAATGTTCCAGCGCTGCTTTGACGTGCGCTAACTCTGATTGATTTGATTTGTGGGGTTTAACGTCCCAAAACCACCATTTGATTATGAGAGACGCCGTAGTGGAGGGCTCCGGAAATTTTGACCACCTGGGGTTCTTTAACGTGCACCCAAATCTGAGTACACGGACCTACAACATTTCCGCCTCCATCGGAAATGCAGCCGCCGCAGCCGGGAATCGAACCCGCGACCTGCGGGTCAGCAGCCGAGTACCTTAGCCACTAGACCACCGCGGCGGGGGTGCGCCAGCTCTAACGACTGGGTTTATATGACTCGTCCGACGAAACGAACATGCCGGCATTGTCAGAATTGTTATGAAGATGTGTCTGCATGACTGCTTTTTTGTGCCTCAATACGTAACAGCTGCTCATTTTGCATTTGTCATTACTTACCGTTGCTTCTTAAATTAGTACAGTCAGTATTAGCCTACAGTATTATTTTATTGTGCGGCCATGTATATAAAAGTACGCTTCATAGGCGGAGACGAAGACAAGAAGTCTGCACACTTCAGAATACACGCCATGACAAAGGGGCGCTGCACTAATGCTTCGCTGAAGGTCTCTTGCCAGGGTTGACCTTGGGAGGCCGTGAAGGTCACATTCACGCAAAGAGCTGTCCTCTAGGTTTGCTACGGGAGCTATCATTCTAACACTGTACTTCATCGTTACATCTCACGTCACACGCGCACTGGCTCTGTGTCCCGAGGCTCATGAAATCAGTGTGTAGGCCACAAGTGCCCCAAGATTCCATACTTCAAAATGCGTTGCTGTGAGTCGCTGTCTTGTCGGAACAAAATAATGAGCAAGAAACACCACGATTACGATTATGTCCACCAGATGCCGCCGGCTTTGCTCTGATCCGTATTCTATATATTTGAGGCGGCTTTTTAAAAATTTAATTTCGTTTTTCACTTCATTTTTATTCCTTAAAAACCCCATTGAAAGGGTATAACATAAAAGGTGGGCACATACTCGAAAAGCAAAAACCCTGTTTTAATACTTTGTAAAGTGATCTATCAACGTGGTCAGATAATGGCTGTGATGATGATGGTGTGCGTGTCAGCATTTATTTTATATTATGTTTATAACATTTATTTTCTGTCGTTTTATTTTAATAAGATAACCGAACGATTTATTGTTTACCGAGACGCACGTGTCTCTGGTATTGTATCACGATACTTTTTTAAAAGCGGTATTTACCTGTAGCTCTGTTTTCAGTTGATTTCTGTTGGCTGTGATTTTTATGTGCACGCACGCACATTTGCTCACACGTTCACTCACAGTCATGCACGAATTTTATTACAAGAAAACATTTCTGTGAAATTATTCGCAAGTCTAAATAACTTCTTGCTTCCACTTCAACAATATTTCCTTTTGTGATATGAGCGAAAGTGTTGTTGTGGTCCTGCATGTTCCCTTCAGCTTCGAAGGAAATGCTTTCTGCTGATCTTGAAAAACAGTTCATATTTAATGCTAGGAAAGTATCCAGTTGCCACATTTGTCTCGGTCTGACGTCATATGTTTGTCCTTGTCATGCCGTTTCTTTAACTAGCTAACATTTCAACCTTATTAATTTAAACTATAGCCATAGTGAAAAACGATGCTTAACTCAGTGCAGAAAGTATCAAGTTCTCTTAAAAGAGGCATCTCTCTACTTCTTGTATGTTTAAGAGTGCGATAGCTCTCCGAATATTACCAGAACTCTGCTTCAAAATGTTCGTGTTCTTACTAACACTTTACTAACTCATTTCGTGCCAAGGCCATTTATCACTGTTTGTTTTAACGCGAGGGCGTTAAAGAACTTGTTTTACAGAAAGACGGGCGTCGGCATCGTTGGATGTGAGCGAAAAATATCATCCTAAGCGTGACCTAAAGACCAATAACGAGGCAAATAAAATAGTAAACAAATTCTGAGTCAAAGTGGGGATCAAACCCGGGTCGTTTGCGCGTCAAATGGATGTTCTACCACACAGCTACGCCGCTGCTTGTGGATACGATGGAAATAACTTCCTTTACGTAGAAATACCTGAGTGAAAGTAACTCGTGCTTCACATACACATGCGTCCTGTATACATGCTTGACAGTGCAACATCAAATATTGCAGTAATAATGCGTGGTACAAGCGTACATTATCATCGAGCGTCACAACATGTGATTATCACAATTACTACATGGTTTAAAGGTAGTAACCGACTACAAAAGGCACGCACGTTACTGTGCCTATTCTCTTAAGGCCACGTAGGAGGTGCGTAGCAAGTTTAGAGAGATTTAATGCACTAAGTCATTGAAGAATGCACTTGGGACAGGATATCGCTATCGAGTTGAACTCTTAAAGGCGAAGCTCAAGAGTCCTACAAGCTTTTTGTTTTTTTTTTGCGCCGCATTTATTTACATTCTATTTAAAGGATGACATTCTGACGCTCAGTTAGATTCTCAAGCATCAAAGGGCTTGTCATCGATGAATCGTGTGATAAGGTCGAGTGCTACGTCGGGCTGGTCGTATGGCAAGATGTGACCGGCATTCCTAACCAGAACTTGCGTGAAGTTCCCCACTTTGCGAACGTAGCCAGCGACGCCATTCCCGTCCGGTCCTCTTCCAAATCTTGCGTTCCGCCTTATCGAAATCTTCCTTGCCCGACCACGGGATGCTGCTGACGAAGTTGTCCGTCAGCGGGTACGCGATTATGATGTCCAGTTGACCGTTGTATATGAGCACCTTGTACTGCGGCTTATCCATGAGTGATGCAAGCCACGGCTTGACGGACTGCATGATGTCCTCCTTGAGATGGCTCTCAGTGGCGTCTCCGTTGTTGAAGGTCAGGTTACCCACGTGAGTGGCCTTGCGGATGGCGGGTGAGTCGACGAAGGCGTGGTAGTTGCCGAAGCCCTCCGGCTCTCTTGAAAGAAGGAAGTTGTAGTAGAAGTCGAGGCCGGTGACGTTCTTAAAGTACGACGGCTGAGAGACGGTGTCGCCGTTGATGAGTCCTGTCGAAAACGAGGAACGCGTCCAGGTATCGACCTCGCTTGATGTAGTCCACGCCCCGCTCAGTTTCGGTGCGGACGTGGTCGGCCTGTCGCCGGTCCACAAGGCCGATTTGATACAAGAATCGGCGTAGTCGAACATTGTCTCCGGGTCGACCATGCCGTCCCCGATGGCGATTCCCCGCAGGTTGATCTTGACTCTGGGTGAAACAGCTGTGTCGATAGCATGAGCGATGGCTGGTACGTACTTCCCTGTAACAAGGAGACGTGGAAGTTTAAATCAATGGCACCTTATATTGAGTGTGATATGCAAGGCGTGGTCATCTAAATTTCTGTGGATCAGTCAGATGTGTATCCATAATGCCAAAGGAATCATTACGGGAGTCGTTTCGAATGGAAAGTTGTTTTTTTTAGTCATTTACTCATACTAATACTCTGCCGTCGCTCTGCGGAGCTTTATGTGACCTTCGTGCATCACGAGGAAATGTGCATCTTACAATTAACGACTTGGACTGGGAGGATTTTTTCAGGTAGAGTTCTCGATAGAGTTATTGACGTCCGCAAACATTTTTCGGTTGCCTCCACTCCGTTCGTAGTTTTTTTTTTTATCGCCATGTTTCGGCTGTTTTATGATCTATTTCATGTCAGAGCCTTTATTCGTAACCCTCACCTCTCGTACTCGAAAACTATTGGCAGAGCACATTGTATTACGCTTAATAAGACGTGAAAGAAAGTTGACCTTGCGTAACCGAGAGACATCAGGACGCAGGTTAATGGAGGGTTTGCTTAGCGTATACTGACACTAAAGGCGCTAGCACGACGACAGACAAATGGCGCCCTGTGTGTATGCACATTTGCCTGCCATCGTCATCGCGCGTTTAACCTGAGAAGAAGGGAGAGATATCCTTCTATTCACTAAGACATTGCATCCTGTTTAAATTTACCTGTATTTCACAGTTATCTGTGATTTAATATTTGTCGAACGTTAAAATACCAAGTGGGGCAGATGGCGTTTTGACAGCTTAGCAACGTAATTCTCCCCAAATCTTGGGCATGCAGTCGCCAATGAGTAGTGCGCAAATCGTGTTCAGTGCTGATGGAGCGAGACAGCCAGTTAACGCCAATGCTGTCTTGCGCAGCTCGAGGCCCTACATTCAGGAGGCAACCCTTGAGTGAGCAAAGTGGGTAGTAACGGCCTACTTGAAATAGTTCCCTCTCTAATCCGTTGCTCCCGTACAAAGTTGCTCAGTCATTCATTCGTACCGGAAAGCACCGACAATAGGCTTTGAAAGCTGACGTGCAGACGACATAACTGCTATACAGTTAGAGAGAGAGTGAGGGAAGCAAGGGCTATACAGTTTTAGTTACAGATCTGTGCAACGAACGGAGGGTCAGTCACGTTTTCCGCACGGTGTCTCTATTACGTACGTCTGCGTTGCCAATTTATTATTCAGTTTTCCAGCACTTATCCGGAGCGTAAAACAAACGTTACACACCTGCGTACGATTCTCCTGTTGCGTAGAAGTCATTAGCCGCGTACTCGTCGAAGAGCGTGAAGAACTGCTGCAAGGCCTCGTGAAGGTCCCGGCCGACGTCGTCCTCGTTGCGAGCGTAGCCGTTGTCGTCCTGGGTGAAGCTGAAGCCGGCCCCGACCGGGTTGTCGATGTACAACATGGAGTAACGCTGAGCCCAGGTGGTGTCGCGAAGCTCTGGAACGCCACCCTTAGCCACCAGATACGGCCCATGCTCCACGAACAGTCCGAACAGAGAGGAGCCGCCCGGTCCACCTTGTAGCCACAGAACTACGGGTGCCTTCTCGGGGTTTTCCTGTAATCCCGGACAAGGCCATTAGTGAAGATTAGCGCCCCGTTTTAATGACCTGCTAATGAGAAAGTGTCGGCTTGGCTTTCTGGTTGGCTGCTGACAAGAAAAGACAGGCTGAGTAGTAATGCAGCTGTCTGTAGTGCTCGGTGTGTTTCGCAATGGCTCCTCGAACTTCCTTGTAGGTCCCTACAGCTGCAACCGAGTCGTGTATTAAGGATCGTGACATAACATATTGTCACGATGCTTACCGCCCGCTCCAGTTTGTTTATGATGGCTAGCAAGGCGCACCAGGTGGGACAGGTCTGTAAGGCAGGAAAGTTTGCCAGTTCTCTGATAGATGCTGTGTTCTCTCAAACCGAATCGGGGCCTCTTTTTCACAAGACGCCATTGGCTGAAATCTTATCTCCAAGTTATTATCCACTATAACCTCGTTTTAAAGATGTGTTCGAGTTGTAGTCGGGAAGATGAAGTGAGTGACTATATGTCTTTTGCAGTATTTACAACTTTACGCTCCCCTATCCCCACATTCCTCTCAGTATAACCGAAGTTCTGACTTTTCTCTGCGCGCAAAATAATGCTCTCAACGTGAGTGTTAAACAGTTTACCTCATCAGCCATTTACGAATTGTGGTGGCATGCCCTGGTAACGATCGTCAGCAAATCCTGCTTAGTACCAGGTAGCTTGCGTTGGACTACCTCACATATGCATCACGTTATGGTCAACTCTCTTGTTTGAGGAATTATCAAGAGCTTTATTCCTAATACTTAATTATTTAATTATTTATGCTATCCATATAGCTCAGACGTCAGTAATGTCGCCGCGATCGGCGCTGACGGGAGCTTTTTCACACCCGTCATGCCTGTAACGCTCACGATCTAGCAGAGCTTCGGGCAGGAGTTTCTGGACAACTTACCTTGGCGGGGAAGAACCAGAAGAAGAGGTTGTTTCCGTACTGCTTGTTGACTGTGAGGAATCCCGAGTAGCTCGGGAAGTCCGGCACAGCTCCCAGCGAACCGACGCGGCTGAGGTTTCGCGCACGCTCCAACTGACCGGCTTCGATGAGCGGAGTCAAAAAGAGCGGCTCGCCTACGCCATGCAATTGCGTCTTTAATCTTCCGGCGCTGTCGGGCCTGCGGATGCACGCACGAATAAGAATGTTTCAAGCAGGAACAACTTACGCATTTAGATCGAATGAAGATCACGTTGCTGTTATAATACCTGGTAGCCTAAACGTTAGCCGACGTAAGCCTACATCAGCCAACTCTCTTGAGCACTAGCTATCACTTTGTCATGTTTAGTCAAAATGAGCTAGCTTTATACGCATGTCACACAGCACAGCTTTGGTCATGGCTGGGGCTGTAAGGGATGGGGGTCAAAGGAGGAAGTTGCTGATGGCATCCCACCGCTGCCACCAGTTGTTATGGTTGAAAGGAAGGTCGCTGGAGGATACGAAAAACAAACAGGTTTATGACACTATTTACACTTATTTACAGCAAAGAAAGGTTAGTGGTTTCACAAACCACGAGCATAGTGGTTGAACCGTTACATGGTTCAGAGCGACGTCCAGCAACCTCTGCTCTGCGGCGTCGTTTTAAGCCCTGTCGGGCTCCTTCTCTCCGAGTGGAACACCAATCACACACACACAACAGGTGAAGAGGACTAGCATGCACGGCCCACGTGAACGTCCAATATTGAGTCGTGAACACTGCACTGCAAGGTGGCGCCAGCAGGGCTCTTCCTCGTCGTGTGTGTGCCGCTAGTCGAGAGGTCCCACGATCCTGACAACGTACATCAAAGGTTCTGACGCACAGCTCGCCTAATTAGCGGGGTGATTTGCGGTGGCCGCCGCGGTCTCTTCCAGGAAGATGTTGTCTTTGTTGTCCTCTCTCGAACAGTTAACGGCGTCGTGGCGACACGACGTCTCATCCTCCGGCTAGCAGGGACAATGTCTGTCGGGCATAGGCAGCCGGCCGGTCGTCTACTTGATTGGGGATTAAAAGGAGCGCCGCTCTCCTGTCAGCTCTGGCGCCGGTCACAACAGCTTCCCCGTCGCCAGATGAATCACCGAGGTCATCAGGCACCGCTGCTGCTTGAAGGTTCGACGAAAAGGTCCGCATTTGAAAGTCAGGGACTCGCCTTTGCTTGCCACATTGCCTGGGTAATTGCTCAAACCTTCGACAGCGTCTGGCAGATTGAGCGCCGGAGAGATTGAGAGCCTCCCCAGTAGACCTGCTTACGCACAATGGCGTCTGCCCAGACGAATTTCCAGGCCAAACTTAACAGGGCCTGATCAGCATAGAATTTTACCATTGTGGTTGGCTATCATTGCAAGCGAGCCAATTACTGCCGAGAAATTTGATCTTGATCTGGCTCGATCACGATCAGTATGACACCGGTACTAGGTAGCGCTCCATTCTTTGTCAGTCCCTTGTTTTCGTCTCTTTCTTTTAGGGGCGAAGCTCCTTATGGCGTGGCTTGGGCGTCCCTCGTATGTAACCACCAGTGGCACATACCCGAAATAGGTATAACACTTGACCTCCAAGGTGGTGCCAGTGAGAGATTTCTTCTGTGCGTTCTTTAACAATAAAAATAGTGCTCAATGTACATGCCAATGGCTGCTAATGGGGAATGATAGACATGAGCATTCGGCTTTTAGTCAACACGCACGCTGCGATCCCCATTAGCAGCCATTGGCATGTACATTGAGCACTATCGGACAAGAAAGGGATGCTACATTATACTCGCTGGGTGTAGCCTCCTTAGCTTTAGAAAGGTTTAGCGAGCGTTGAGCCGCAGTGCCATGAATACAATGAACTTGTATATACCATGAATGAACTCAAGGTGGTTAAAAATGAGAAGTAGATACGAAGCGCAAGCCGTAAGAAAGTAAAAGCCGAATTCTCCTGTCTCTCATTTCTCATTAGCAGCCGTTGGCATGTAAATTGAGCCCTATCTGACAGGAAAAGGTTGCTACGTTATACTCGCTGGGCGTAACCTCCTTGGTTTTCGAAAGGTTTAGCGAGCGTTTGGTCGCAATGCCATGAATACAGTGAACTAGAATATACCATGAGCTCGAGGTGGTTAAAGGTGGGAAGTGGACCCAAAGCGCAGGCCGTAAGAAAGTGTGCGTGTGCCACTCTCGTTTAGTCCTTGTAATGTCCGCTGGATGGCGGTGCTTCTATATGGGGAGTATATGATAAAAAGATGCGAGATGGTGGGACTTGGAGTGTTGAATAGATGAACGAACGGACACACAAACAGATGCATGGATGGACGCATGAACGGACGCAGGGGCGGATGCATGAAAGAACGCAGGGACGGGCGCACAAACAGACGCATGGACGGTCACACACACGGACGCATGGATGGACGAATGCTTCGCCCCACTCTCCATCATTCACTCCGTGGATATGCTGCCATTTTTTTTGTCCCTTTCGCTCTGTTCATGCAATCATGAGATACTAACTATAGCACGGTCAAAATACCGTGCCTTAGGTAACATTAGTATTTAATTATAGCCAACATAATTTAACACTTGACAATATTATCCGTTTTTTTGCGAACGTCAGTAAGCGCTAGCCAGCATTATACACTACGTACCATCAGATAACAGCGTTATTCATTTCCAGCCAGTGCTTGTAGTGTGCGAGTAAATAAGAAAAGGCAATGCTCAAGCTCGCCGTTCACAAATATTGGCAGGCTGAGACATTTGCTCTTATAAATTCATTCTTGAAGTACTCCCTTCTTTTCCTGTAACAAAATAATGCTTGCATGTGTACTTCTTGTACATTCGCCCTTTGACGTGCAGGAAACTTGTTATTATTCTGCTTTCCTTCCAGCGTACTGAATTGGCCTTGAAAGTGAACGATCACCTGCATTAATGCGACAAAAACAGAAACGTGCACTTGAAATTGAAGTAGAGCTCAGCTTTGCGCGTTGTTTTCTCCGTATATGGCAGCAATAAATTGATAATTAAATTAATGTTACCAGCTCATGAGACACGGGGGGCAGTTATTTGTCAGAAAACATACAGGAAGAAACTTATCACACGCTGAGCCGAATCGAACGCACCTTTTTTTTTTCTTGAAAGAAGGTGCAGCTGATAACGGGAAGTTTTTTGGGGTCACAGCTCGCTGATATCATGGCTTGTGCAAAACAATTGATAGACTGCTTAAGGGTGGCAGTATTGTTCTTCCCGCTTCACTTCCTCTTCCCACGTATGCAGTATCCATCTGTGAAGCTTTTTTATGGACTATTATTCTGATGGGTTTCTGTATGTTTAATAACTAAACAAACAATGCCACTGTAGACGCATGCACACAAAAATGATTGGGTTGATGCATTCCACAATTTATGACATCGTTATTGCCACGTCATGACATAGAAAACTAAAAAAAAGAGTCATTTAACAGCGCAAAGTGGCAACGCCCATGTGTTGAATGTAAAAACATCTATAAGATATACTGCGTAGGGGACACAACGCAGAGTGAAGACGTCAGCGCGCATAATTTAGAGCGAACCAGAGAGCCTTATTAGAAAAAATTATCGTTAATTCCTCTTTCATAGAAATTATTCGTAACATAACAATGAAACGTGTCTCTACGAAAGCAGTCGCATGCCGGTTGCGTGTAAAGAAATACAATCGGAACATAGTGTGTTGCTGTTTTTTGCGGCATTTAGCTGGCGATTGCCCTCCGACTTGCAATTGCTCGCTTACTGGCGTTGATTCGTCCTTCACCCCCACCTCATACAAACGCCCCATTTATTCTACCTATTGAGTTTTTTATCTTCTGGGTTCAACTGTAAGAGTGACAGAGAAAGATAGTGAGAAGCTAACAGTTATGAGAATGTGATCAGATTGGTAGGGACAAGATACCAAGTAAAGTATACAAACAAAATCAGAATGTTAAGGACTTGATGCCCCTTTCTTTCCGAAGGCTTAGCCGATT